GCGGATTGACACCTTCCAGAGCCGTCCCGAAGACATCGTGGTGGTCACCTTCCCCAAATCTGGTGAGCATCCCCAAGCCCACCAGACATCGTGGTGCCAGATGGGCAAGTGTGTTGTATGGCTGGGACCCACTGCCTGGGAGAACGCAGCATGTTTGGGGCTATTGCAGCAGAGCCATGCGGGATTTCCCTTGGGCCCTACAGCACCTGCTCAGGCTCCGAGGGGTTGGTGCTGAGGTGGGGTTCACCACCCCCCTGGTGGGGTGCTTTCCTGAGGCACCACCTGGGTCGAGATTGTGGACATGATCCTGCAAGGCGGTGACCCTGAGAAGTGCAAGCGGGACATCATCTCCAAGAGGGTGCCCATGCTGGAGTTTGCTGCCCCTGGGGAGATGGAAGCAGGTAGCCGGGCGTGGGTGCTTGGCTGTGGGCACCCCATGGGGGGCTGAGCCTGGGTGGGCTCTGCTGAGGGCCCACTGGGGACATGCTTCGCGGTCCCTCAGGGACGGACCTGCTGGCCACCATGCCCTCACCTCGTGTTATAAAGACTCACCTTCCTATACGTATCCTGCCCAAATCCTTCTGGGAAAACCGCTGCAAGGTAACTTCAACTCTGGTCTCTGCCCCAGGAGATATTGCAGCCCCACTGTTCTCCTGGGGCAGGAGCCCCCACTGCTCCCTCCAGCATCCTAAGTGGTTTTTGAAGACCTAGGGACTGGAGCATCACCCCTGTTGGGAATCCTGGGGCTGTCCCTCATACCTCACAGCCCCTCTGTAGATGATCTATGTAGGGCGCAACGCCAAGGATGTGGCCGTCTCCTACTACCACTTCGACCTGATGAACAAGTTCCAGCCTCACCCCGGTACGTGGGCCGAGTACCTGGAGAAGTTCATGGCTGGCAGAGGTGAGACAGGGCACTGGTGGTAGGAGTCACTCCATATCCCTCCTCCAGCATCCCCCCCATACCCTCTGGGCTCCTCTCCTCTTGCAGTGGCATATGGCTCCTGGTACCACCCAGACAAGGACTACTGGGAGCAGCAGAACTACCTCTTCTACGAGGACTTGAAGGAGGTGAGGGACTGAGGTGGATGGTGGTATGCCATCAGAGGTGGGGGGTGACAGGAGGGCTGAGCATTGGCCTGTGTCTTGCAGAACCTCCGCCAGGAGATTGCCAAGGTGGCCCAGTTCCTGGGGCGGAATCTGTCGGAGGCAGCGCTGGACACCATCACCCAACACACCTCCTTTGAGGCCATGCGCGACAACCCCACCACCAATTACACCATGGTGCCCTCCCACCTCATGGACCACGGTGTCTCCCCTTTCATGCGCAAAGGTGAGCAGCCCCAGGGGGGTTCCCAGTGCAGTGTGCCCCTCGGCCTCTGCTGAGCCCCATCTCACCTGGCTCCAGGCAGCACCGGAGACTGGAAGAACCACTTCACTGTGGCCCAGAGCGAGCACTTCGACCAGGACTACATGCAGAAGATGTCGGGCACCGACCTGCGCTTCCGCACCCAGATTTAAGATGGCAGCATTGCATACACCATCATGCCCTCTCCCCCACCAATACCACTCCCCAATAGCAGCCCCAGCATCACCCCTACCCACCCACATCTCACCATCCTTCTTGTGACAGAGGGACTTTTGTAAAAATAAAGTGTTTTATTTCTGTGTCATCCTCCCAAATTTGTGCCTGTGTGAAAGCTGCTGCATTGGTACAAAGAGCCGCAGTGCTTCATCCCACCCCACGCTGCCTTCCCAGGACAGGCCTAGGACATGGCTTTGTGGTTATTTTTTTTGAAAAATAAAACAGCTAGTATGCGATCCAGAGGCATTTCCAGCACACAGTGAATAAAAGTTGTTAGCACCTTCCACACGAGCATCTCTATCATTGCAGAGGATTCCACGCCTGTTGTCTCCTACCTCAGAAACTCGTCTGCTGATATCACACTTTGGGGGCAGATGGGACAGGACAGGGCACAGTGATGTCTGTGCCCTCCCCTTTGCTGCTGGGGCCATATGGAAGAGATGAGGTGAGCTGGACAGGGACAAAACATCCCCAGGGTGGATGGGAGAAGGCCACAGCCTGGGGAACTTGGGACCAGTCCTTCCACCCGGGAGCAACGAAGCTGGAGGCAAAAGGGATTTTGCCGGTCACTTTTGTGCTGTTCTGCTCCCAGCGACCTGGAAGCTGTTGCTGTCTGCCAGTCTCCCTGCAACCATATCGCCCGTTGGACGTGGTGGGTCCCTGTGGGGTCAGAGGAAAGGCTGTTTGTTCTCCCACCACTTCCAGAAAAAACACTGCTAAAGGCCCCCCTCGGAGCACATTGTGCAGCACTGCTAAAAACTGGTGCTTTTAAAATCGCTGGGTTTATGTCGCAATCATTTAAGAAAAGGAAACTGTGATTCAGCTGATTGCTGGTTCCTGGTTCCTCAGATGCTGTCCTCTCCCACCCATGTTCATAACCCTCTCTTCTGTTTGGTACATGTACACGACAAACTTGCCTGCAGCCTGGAGGAGATACTCATTGCCTGCAGGCACAGAGCATCTATGAAGAGGTGATTGCTTTCTCAAGGGTGGGTGAAATAGGCCAAGAAATTTTAAAAAATGAGTGGGGACCTGGGGGACAGGCAAGGTGACAGGGATGCAGCCAGGCACAACCCAGTGCCAAAACATGGGCGATTAGATGTAAAACGGCTCCGCTGTGCTCCAGGGATGAGACTGACAGTCAGGTGGGACCTTTCCGGCAGTAAAACTGAGTTAAATCCCATCATTCAGCAAAATCCCTGGAGTTTGGCCATTAGATACCACAAACCCAACAAAAGTGGGGGTGCTGGGCATTGCAGCAGGGATAGGTCTTACCTACCTGGATGGGTGGGGAGAACACAAGGAGAAAAAGAGAAGATACAAAACTGTGATCCCTCCTTGGAAGATATGTTATATTAAGTCATAATAAAATAATGGCAAATCATTTCTGGTTCTCTCTCAGATGCTGGGAACTCCTTTGTGTTGTATGATGCAGTGATTTGTTAGAGAAAGATGCAGCAGTCTCCGAACCTAGCTGTCCCCTCTTATCTCGCAGTCTTGGTACCAAAAAAACTCAGCTAGAGATGCCAGAAAAGGAAAAATAAGCCAGGTAATTACAGACAGGAGCCGAGATACCTGAACTGGTGAGTGGTGGGTTCAGCCACTTCTGTTGTACAGAAAAGATGCCATCTAGGAAAGCAGCTCCTGAGCCTGATGTGGTTCCCTGTGTCTGGTCACTCTGTAGTTTTGTCTTCTACAAATCTGCCTTTGAAAGCCCAGCTCTTGTGATATCCACCACATCCCATAGCACATTGTACCTACCCTGGGGATTCCATTTTCTCCCACAACTTACTGCCTTTTTTTTTTTTTTTGGAAGTCCCTTACTTCATGCACTGAGATTCTATCAGCAATTTATCATTTATCCACATTGATTCCACATTGATCTTCCCCATCCTTCAGGATTCTACAGGCTTTTCTCATAACACAGCCTCCCCCAGACCTGTATTTTTATAGCGAAGGCAGTTCAGTCTATTCAGGCACTGTATTTTCTCTGCTGATTTCTATCTATCAGCCCCTTGACAACAGGACATCTTGTTACAGGAATTTCCTTTCATTCTTACACCTGCTGCTGCGACTCAGCACCAGGAGCATGCATTTTGGCCCCACTGTTCTTGTCAAAGACTGTTCCTCTGGTAATGTCAACAACTTGTTCCTCTATGATTTGTTCCAGGCATTTTCTTCCCTCCCTAAGTATTTTTCATGCCTGTTACTGCTTGGATATAAAGCCAGGTTTCCCAATTGCTCTTTAGATGTTTCCATTTGGGTGGAAGCATGCAGATTTGTTTCTTTTTTCCCCCAAACACCTCCGGTCTGTTAAATGACTCTCTAATGACACCTCTTTCTTCTTCATAATTTAGATAGCAGCTCCTGTGAAATGTACAGGGGTGCCAAACACACTTTAAGAAATGCTTTCATGCACTATCTCAATAAGAACCCTTTTTTGTTTGCATTTATATTTTTTGTCCCTGGTCTCAAAGTACAACCCTAACAGCACCTGTTATCGCTGCTGTAGATACGGTGCTTTTTAGCAGCTGAAGAGATGCAACATAACCAGCTAAGGGAGGCCAAAATACTGTCCCCTAGAAGTTTTGTGTAGATCCAAAGCTATAAGACCCCAGGAAAGAAACAAGTGTTTGATTATGAGGCCAGAAGAGGGATTGCAGAAGTAACTTTGCTCTTAAAAACACTGTCTAGCAGATCAGTGTGGGGTAAGGACAGCTCCCTCGTAAACACCCTTGTAAAACTAGGACTTTGAATCCCTATGAACGCAGTGCCTCTCTTCTTGCCAGTGGTTGATGCCAAGGTGTACACATGGCAGGTGAAAGCCCTGCTGGGAATGGAGGAGCCTTTCTCCTCACTGCTACATGGAGGTGCCCAGCAGGGGACTCAGGGGCCACAGAAGGAGTTTTGGGCTGGCTTAGAGGAAGAAACTCAGGAGGTGTCCCTGATGTTCACGGTAAGAGTGGCCAAGGGGGCTCCCACATCACACACAGAGGTCCAGACATCTGAGCTGACAACTTCCAAAGCAGAGTTACTCTCTTACTCTTCCAGCCCTGAAACACCCCAGGCACAGGGTATAGCAGCCCCAGCCAAAATCACACCCACGCCTCCAGTGCAAACAGGGGAGGAAACACAAACTTATCCTGGTGAAATATCCCCAGGGATGAAATGGAATCACTCGTAGTTAAAACATGAAGCCCAAGTCCAAACCTCTCGACCAGATTTCCTGGGAGCAGAGCAGGTGCCTCTATCTGCATCCTAGACTGACATGCAGAAGCACTCCTCCACACCCCAAGTAGCAGCCGATGAGGTGCTCCCCTCTGTGTCCCAGACTGAGTCATGACGGATCAGGTCCAAGCCTGCACTATCAGAGAAAAAACAGTTTCTCCCCTCCCTGCATGCTGGAACACAAGAGGAACCATGGTCACAGGCAGTGCTGCCAAGGAGGCTGACTCTGAGGACTCGTGCTGAGGCCAAGGTGCAGATTTCCCACATGGATATCGCCCTGGGGAGTAAGTGGCAGGTGCTGCTTGTGTGCCACGGCCCAGGTACAAACTTCATGCCGGCAGCTCCCAGTGTCAAACAGCAAAACTTAGCTCCTTCAAGACACAGTGTGGCTTAGGACCTTGAGCGGGATGTATCTAAATAAGAAGAAGTTATTTCTGATATTTCTGATATTTCCACTGGACAGAGATGAGATTTGCTCTGCTTCCCAATTTCTTTTTAAGATCAGAAAGACAGCAAGGAGCTATACCACAGCAGCAGGGTTATGTGCAACTGGTGGATTCAGTCAAAATTTGGCAGGGATTTCAATTTAGTTTTCATTCCCTTGCAGAGCTATGAACACACAAATACATTAGAGCATGCAAATACATCAGTGCAATGGCTGCTGGCCAGCTCTTTATGGGGACCCCTGCTCCGTGATAGCCTGGTCTTTACACAACTCCTCCCAGGCCCAGCAGGAAACCCATACGCTAAAATAAATCATTGGCAAGCTGATCAGGCACAGGGAAACACCTGGCATGGGAGCATGAGCAGCAAATGCGCAGGAGAATGTGGGAGAGTGAGCACAACTGCCCCTTCCAGGGCTAGTGAGCCACGAGATGAGCCCCATCACACCTATACCCTCAGTATTTGCAGATTTGCCCACCTCCCTAACACTCAGCTTTCTGTTGGGGGTCAGACAGATGCTGGCATGACAGAGGTGTGTCATATCGACAGTCGGTTTCAGGAAGTCTCTGCTCCTGCCCCTCACTGTAGAGCTGGCAAGGACGGGATGCAGCACCTTTTCTCCACTAAAAATGCACAGTTCCTAGCAGGCACACAAAGATGGGCCTGCGCCTTCTCTCATTTCTTTCCTTTTTTTCTTTTTTTGGCTTTGCAAAATGGAAATGGCTCCAGTGCAAGCCACCCTGATGTCTACACAGTTACATGGCAGGGTGTTCCAGCAGCATTGCAACAGCAGTGAAGAGAGTTCATAAAAACCAATAAAACCAAGTTCAATAAAACCAAGTGAAATGTTATAAACCCAGCCTGTGGTATTTTTATCCTACTGTTACATACCATAGACATAAATGTGTAAAAGAGCCTCAGGTGGGAATGCAAACAAGGATATAAACTTCTACAGCTGTGGCTGGCACCCTAGAGGAGGCAATTGCATGGACAATCAAGGACCATCAACTGTGTCATTAAGGCCTATCAATTCTGGCAGGGCAGATACCTTGGAGAAACACATAGATTGGCTGAGACTTGACAGATACCAGTTAAGGACTCCACAAAGAAGAGAAACACCTCTCCGTCAGCCACAAGGGATCACCAGAGGCCACCAAAGTCCTCCAGGGAAGCCTTTCAGAGATCCAGGCCGCACGTGTAGTAACTATGTCTGTATGATAATTAGTTCCTGGAAATAGAATGAGTATGCGTAATCTTTCTGGGAAACCTAATGCCTATGTATGTAACAAGGGGATATAAGCTTGGACAGGTAACAGACATGGCATGCATGATAGGTGGAATTATCCCCCACGCATCTGGCACTGCAATAAAGAAATGCTTGCTTTCTAATGCTAAACTGAGTTTTAGAGAGTTCTTTATTGACTGCATTTCGTTAATACTACCACTGCAAGGTAGAGCTGTAAAGATACAATTTAACTGAGAAATGTGGTTATGGCAAGGCTATTTCAGCTCATTAACTTTTGCTGGAGTTTCCCTGTTACCCCACAGGATTACATGGGAGTAGCTGTTTTATGAGCACTTGCACACGTGCCTCTGCAAAATTGCTCAATCCACTCACTTCTGCCTGTACGCTGGGATGAGCCAGCCTTGGTACTTTTCCCATCCAGCCTTTCCCTCCCCCTCAAAAAGAAATTATAGCCAAGACTTTGAAGTCTGCTTTCAGTCTAAAAGTTGATTTATTGCATTAAGTGAAAGGAAAACTACAGAGGCATTTTGTGCTCTTCAGGGCAAAAGCTTCCCTTTTCTCCCCTATCACTGACTTTTTGAGGTGCTGGCTGGCATCAAGGTTTTCTAGAAACAAAGGTGCTGCATAAACCATAACCCCCATCCTGCAAAATGGCGAAGGGACCCATATGTGAAAAACACTAGTTTGTATTGCCTAACTTTTGCATAACTCACCTTCATCTCAAAAAGCCTGCTGTTATTTAAGAGGGCTGGAAGTTGCATCAGTGTCTGCAGCATTTATACTTAGTAACTCAAGATGCGTGAAACACGGACACTCAACACCATCTACTTTCTTCAGCCCTGCTTGTCTCTCTTTTGCTGGATTTTGTTCTCTCTTTTGCTGGATTTTGTCCTTTAATCGCTTCAGAATGCTTATTTTCTCGGCATTAAGAGTAATCTGAGTCTTGAGAGGCTGGCCCTGGCAACAAGACAAATTTAACCCTCTGGTTCCTCTAGTACTAGCTTTCTTTTGCTACAGAGGTATTAGTTATTGAGGGGTTAGAATCAAAACCCATGTTCCCATCTGCCCCAGCCCACATGAACATGGCTTTTCAATAGTTGCTGGAAAACCTTTAAGAAACTTTACAGGATTTTCTCAAATAATCCAAATCAGCCTGGAAAAAAGATATTATCCTGAATACAAAGGTCTATGGAGAGATAGTAGTGAAACTCCTGAGTGTAAGGCCAAATTCTTGTTGAAACATTCTGGCATAATTGCCCTGAATTCTGAGAGTTTAGAAAAAGTCAGGTTGAATATTATGGACCATGTTTTAAAACCATGCAGGTGCATCTTTAATTTCCTATATTTTCAAATCATTAAATTCTTGCCACAGAATGAAGGGCCACACATCCAGCACAGGTAACGTACCAATTTCTGAAAAACCCTGCAAACAAACCACAAGGTTTTCTCTTCATTCCTGTGGACAGTTTAGAAACAAGTCTATTATTGAACAAACAATTCTGTTTTGCCAGCTAGGACCCTAAAGGGAGCGAAAAGATCTTTTTAGCAGCCAGACATCATATTTCTGAGATACAGGATGCAAAGTCCTTCTGAGAATCTGGCTCTATAATAACATTACAATATACCCTCCTGTGGGGAAGACCATCTTGACTATTAAATTACTGGAACATAACAAAGCAATGAATAATCCCAGAATACGTGCCTTGTTGTCATGATCCCATATTGCATTACTTCCTCATTTGGAAAAGCCCAGTTCAGAGGGTGACTTATTTAAGCTCCTTCTGCCCAATACCCAATCTCTCTGGAGCAGCCCAGGTGCACAGGAGGTGAGCTGCAAGAAATAGAAGCAAAGCAGCGTAGCAGATCGCACCTCACAATTCGATGCTAACGTGCCTTGGAAGACTCCACTAGGTAAGAGTTTTCTGCTGCGTGGCATCCATTCCCCAGACTGTGTTAGACTGAGCGTTATCACTAGATGCATGGGGTTTAGTTGTCATTTTGGGTCCTGGTGGTGAAGAGCTCCTTCCAGAACATAGTGCCTTACATTCAAGAGTTGACTTTCCAAGTGAAAGGCACCCCAGAAGATGCAGGTTTGCTCTGAGAAGCACCTTTAGAGGCCAGGATGGCCCCAGACCCATGTTTAGGAACCTGAATTGAGTCCACAACATGATCAGGTTGGTAGTGATGTACTCTGGAGGGTAGCAATGAGCTCCCTGTGTTAAGAGTTGTCCAGGGGCAGTCAGAAACCACCTGTCACATATCTGAAGAAACTACACGTTATTTCCATTCCCATCACCCAAACAAAGCATTTGTTGCCTTTTCTCAGCATGGGAAACGTTAGCACTTCTAACATTTCACCCTGAGAAAGGGTGCCGCTTCCAAGTCAGCCACTTAAATGTACCCTGGGACCTCTCCTTCCTTGGCCCGTCTCTGACATCGCTAGTTTGTGGGAGTAACACAAAGGATTTGTTTGAGTATCAGAGCTGGCCTCCAGGGGACTGGCTCACTTGCAGTTTTGTCATCTGTAAAAATGCACCAGCTTGAATTAATTAATGGTGAAGTCTGGAGAGACAGCGGCTCTTTGCAGGGGCTGAGGCATGACTGCTAGTAATTCATGTTATTTACCAGAAGAGATGGGGCTGTAGAAGGGCTGAGGAGGCTTAAGGATGCCTACCATACGATTTGCCACTACTAGTCACATCACAGGTGTCCCTCCACCTTGTGTTGCCCAGCGCTCTTGCCCCAAGTCTAACAATATCTTCAAGCAAGCCCTCTAGCGCTGTTGCCTGTCAGCTAAGAAAGCCCCTGTGCTGCTTCTGGAAAGAAAAGCGGAGAAAGCTAGAAACTCTCAGAATAAGAGAAATATAACTTTAAGTACAGGCAGGTTTTCTGCCATAAGTAATAGAAACATTATTGCATACAGATACCACAGCTGTTGCTATTGAAAACAGGCATTTTTAAAATCACGTGTGATCATACATTCTCCAGTAAATCTCAGTATATCTACAGTGCTGGCAAAATTCTAATATGTACTGTAAATATGCCAACATTTACTGATATAGTAATTACACAGCTAGAAGAGATCCCATTATTTGCTTTTACTTTGTTGTAAGGATTCCTCAGAACTACAAAACGTATAAAAAAAGAAGGGATGACATTTTTCTTGTGCAAAGGGAGGATCTTGAAGGCAGACCTTTGACAGCTGTGAGAACTGCTGCCACCCTGCTAACCAGGAAAAGGAGCCCCCTCAGGGAGAAATTAAAAGGGTTAGAAGGCAGAAAGGGAAAAGTGTATCACTAAACTTCTTTTTCTGTCTTTTCAGACCTGAGGCCAAACGTGAGCTTTGAAGGCCCCATCTGTGCAACAGCGAACTTGCTTTTGCTAGAAGTGCTAGTAAAGAGCTACACAATACAGAGGTGCAGCATTCCCAACTGGAAGGGCAAACTCCCAGGCTATTTAGCCTTTAGCTCTGCCATGGACATAAAAGCCACCACCTCCAAGAAATTCCTCCAGCTGCTCCTTTGGCAGGTCGCTCTCCTAGGGCCTGCCTTCTGCGGGAACGTGTTGGTCTGGCCGACAGAAGGCAGCCACTGGCTAAACGTAGAGATAGTTATACAAGAGCTCATCCACCGTGGGCACAGTGTTACCATTCTGGTATCCAACGCTTCCCTCTTTATTAAACCGAGGACTGAGGCTGCAGAGAAGTTTGAGGTCTATAATGTGCCCTTCAAGAACGACACCATTGAGAACCTGATTGAGGATGTAGTGGCACTATGGCTGAATAACAGGCCAACAACCTTGACCTTCTGGCAGTTTTACAAGGAGCTGGGAAAGCTGTCCAAAAACTGGCACAAGATGAACAGGCTGATGTGTGATGCGGTGCTAACCAACCGAGAGCTGATGGCCCACTTGCAGGGGTCTAGCTATGACCTCCTGCTGTCAGACCCAGTGACCCTCTGCGGGGATCTCCTGGCTCTCAAGCTGGCCGTACCCTTCATCTACTCGCTGCGCTTCTCGCCAGCCTCCACTGTGGAGAGGCACTGTGGCAAGATCCCAGCCCCACCATCCTACACGCCTGCAGCCCTGTCTGAGCTCACCGACTGCATGTCCTTTGGTGAGAGAATAAAAAACATTGTGTCTTACTACCTGCAAGACTATGTTTTCCAGAGCTACTGGGGAGAATGGGATATCTACTATAGCAAAGTCTTAGGTAAGCCTTCTGCTCCTTCACTTCTCACTACATGGCCTCCCACCTTACCACCCACAGAGCTAGGAACCTAGCAGGGTTGCAAAGTCAAGGTCTAAGAGAAGTCAGCAAGAAGTTTGTCAGTATGTCACTACGTGGAAAAGGGAATAAGCCACCAGGGTTCATCAGTTGCACCCACTCCCCTATCAGCTGATGTGCTGCTACGCCACTGCATCAAGACAGGGATTAGTGGCCATCCTAGTTTGGCTTTTGCCAATTACTTTTAATATAGAGGTCGAAACAACTTCCACACTATAAAAGGTCTTCAGCAAAGGAGCTCAGTTTACACACTTCCCCCTCCAGTGACTGTTTGTGCAGAAAGCAGCCAGGAACAGGGCTGCTTGCCTAATCCAGAGTATCCTAACAAGGAGGGAGGAGCTGGTGACTTCCGAGCCAACCCTGCCACCCTCGGTGGCAATACTGAAATGTATTGTGGCTTTGTAATACAGACTTCACTTATGTCACTGGTCATATAAGACCAATCCTCTCTCAACAAGTTGTATTTAAACCATACCCTCCAGCCACAGGCAAACTGTGCAAGCAACATGTCTTTATTCATAGGGTTTTCTTCTGGGCTGTTCTGAGTGAATATGTTGAAAAAATATGTCTTAAATATTAAGTATTATTAAGTATTAAGTACGTGTGATCAACATGCCATTTTTACTAACCTCACACTGAGCTCATGAAAAAGAGCACTTGCAAATCTCTCTGGGTTGAACTGCCTGTAAATACTTGCATGCTGCAGGACTCTGCAAGTACACTAAACCATCGTTATGTGCACAGCTTGGCTTCTCACAGCCCAGCTGCTTCCACCACCCTCATTTTTTCCCTGGAAGGGATGCTCCAGTCAGCACAGAAGCTGTAGCAAAAAGCCTCACAATACAATGTTAGGAAAACATTACGTAACAAAGCTGGGCAGAAGCCCAGTAACAATAATTCCTAGCACAGGGAAGAGGACTTATATTATTTCTTAACTGCACATCAGAAGGGTGACCATAAATAAAATGATTTAAATAAATAAAAACAGATTTTCTGGTTCAACTTATAGTGCATAATTGGCACCTAGTGGCAGGCAGGACAGCCCACACCATCACCTCTCAGCTCTGGCCTCCTACGATGCATGAACTAGAAGAGGCAAGTTCACACGAGGACAGTCTTACTCCAACACTGGAGTCACTTGCTGTGCAGTTTCATCCACTCTGAGATGAGACTTTTTAGCTGCAGCCTGGATCATCACCTTAACTGCACTGTAAACAGACACTTGGTGGCTTTATAAAGCAAAGGGGTGACCACAAAGCAGGTGAACATCTTCAAAGAACCTGAAGGATGGAATAGTCAGCTTTCAAACCAAGCAAATAACAGAGATTGTAGACAGACCGACAGGAGGGCTGTGATGACCTACAGACCAAATTCCTCACCGGGCTGAGCCCCCCAGGCCTGCCAGCTCTCCCCACTGCTCCAGAGGAACCGCATCTTCCAGCTTCAGCAAGCTCTTCGCCACCAGATGGTGCCAGCTGGTCCCAGTCCCCCTTTTCCCCAGGAGAACATATTGTTGTCCAGGACAGGATTTCACTCCAGCTCTCTTGGCTCCCTGACCTCCTCCGGGGCGGGGCAGTGTCACGCATGCCCTGCCCAGCCTGGGAGCAGGGCTGAAGGGAGGCGACAGGGACATCAGAGTCGGGGCAGGCAATGGCTGGGAAGGCGGTGGCTGTGCTGTGGCTGCTGGCTGTGTTGAGGTGGGGGTCCGGGGGGAAGGGGTTGGTCTGGGCGGCTGACAACAGCCACTGGCTGAACATGGAGTACATACTACAGGAGCTGGTGGCCCGGGGCCACGAGGTAACTGTACTGCTGCCTTCATGCTTTCTCATCCTCAACGCCACACAGCCCTCACCTTTCCAGTTTGAGGTGATTGAGGTGCCAATCACCAAAAAGGAGATGGCTGACTTCCTGGAAGAACACTTGTATTTTTGGTTTTACGAGGAGAGCGTGCTACCTCTCTGGGAAAGTCTTTACAAGATAGCTCAACTGATACACAAGCTGCAGAATGTAACCAAAATAATTTGTGATGAAGTCCTGAAGAACGAGGCGCTGCTGGAAAGACTGAGGGCATCCAACTTCGATGTCTTCTTGGCAGACCCACTGGCACCCAGTGGAGAGCTGTTTGCTGAGAAGCTGGGTATCCCCTTCGTGTACACCATCCGATTCTCCATAGGCAACACCGTGGAGCGGCTTTGTGGGCAACTCCCAGCACCTCCTTCCTACGTACCAGCCACCCTAAGCCGCCTAACAGATAGGATGTCCTTCCTGGAAAGGCTAAAAAACACCTTGTTCTATGCTCTGCAGGATATTATATATCATTACCTTCTCTGGGGAAGCTGGAATCAATACTACAGTGATGTCTTAGGTAAGGTTGTTACTTCCAGAAATTACATCTGCTCTACACACGAGAGTAAATACCTGAAACTTAGAGGTTGAGGCACAAATAAGGAATGAGACAGCCCTGAACATCCTCTCCTTCCTCAAAATCCCTGTGTGAAGTCAGACAGTCCAGGCAAGTACCAGTGTTGCCTGTTAATCCTGACCTGCTACACTCATGCAACCAAGTCCATACAGGTATTTCTAGATAGGTAAAACAGTGCTAAAGCCACTTGAAAGAGCTCATCAGTAATATTCCTAGATCAATCACAATAAACCCTAAGAATGGAAAAATAATACTATATGCCCACCAAACACTAGTATTGAATTAAGTGTTTTGAAGTAGAAATAAAAAATAGTTTTGGAAAGCTGTACGATAACACTTCTTTTTTTTTTTTTCCCTAGTACTCGTCTTGCTTGCGGGCTTCTCTCAAAATGAGAGATAATAGCCTCCTCCAGTCTTTTAAATGCCTAGGAGAGAAAAGTCCCAATTTACAGTGATTAAAGGCCCTCAGCAGAGACCGGGTTCTTTGTTTTTCTGAAAGCATCCAAAAGAAATACTAGGAGATAGCTGTATTTTTTTTTCATTCTTGTATAATAACTGCATAATTGTTTTCACATTTTTTCTCTAAATGATTATTGTAATGCTTAAAAAGATACAGCGCAAACACATGTGATTGGTAGACAGACAAAATGGATATTATTTCAGTATGAGACTCTAAGTGGTTTTATCTATATTTTACTACTGGGTGAAATTCTGCTGAGAGCTAAGTTGATAAGATATCCCACTGTTAGAATACCCAGCTGTGTGCTTGCTTGCATCTCTTAGCACATTTGAAAGAGACTAGAAAATCTGGCGCTTACAGAAATGTGGTTTACTGATCTCCTGTTGCGTAAGTGTCAGAGCTCTTTGGATCTTATGTTGGTATTTTTCTTGTTAAATGCAGGGTTTAGCGTTTAAGTCTCCATGTGCAGTACCCGTTTTTTTAGCTGGGTTGGCTTAGCTGTTCTGTGGTCTATGATATGCTCTGATCTGGAGCGTATCCAGTCCTGAAGGAGGTGAGAAGGGAAGGGGCACGCATCTTGCAGAAAGAGGACAATGTACCAGCTGCTACAGCATATGTATGCACCTTCCCTTTCTCCTTGGAAAATCTTCTTGGGTTTCTTATTATTCTAGCTGCTTTCCTAGAGCTACCTAAAGGCTTTTTCAAGTGATGAGGTTGAAGCATGATGAAAGACTGTTTGCTCCACTGTCAGTCGAGTGAAGGGAGCTCATGTGGTGGTGCTGAGCGCCTGGAGGAGTGCTTAGGCCCTGTGTAGTCTGCCTCATTCGCCCTCTGCTCAGGACAGAGCAGCTGCCTGTTCTTTTCCCTGACATCACATCAGTCCCACCAGGCATCTCCACCACACCTGCGGGATACAGTCAAGATGACAAGTCAGGCCCCTCGTTTTGGGGATATATGTCCTCAACTACATGGCACGGATACACTGATGCCAGTTTCCAGCATCTTCCCACAAGAAGACACAGAAGTATCATCAAGGTGAGCTTCCTCCTGTTTGTCTCCTGGCATGGCCTGAAGCTGGAATCACCTCTACCCGGAT